GGAATAGTAATCACGACCCAATTAAATAATTAAGTTAATAATTATCTTGGATGCTATTTTCGGCTCCTTTTTTTCTGCGTTTGGCTGCGTTTGACATTTTGTGATTCGAAGGACCAATGTGGAAATGAGTAACGGATACATCGCATCACTTACCTGCGGTTTAAATACAGAGGAAAATGAAATAATAAATAAGTTTTTGCATTTAGATTTCAGAAATTGTATTCATTTCAATTAATTACTGCTTTTATTTCGTTTTCGAAAGGTCTTGAAGCGTTAAAACCATTTAAATCATCAATAAATAAATTTCAAATTTTCTCTTGACATTTTACTATATACCCAGCTGGTCGGTCCGTAAAAAGCGTTCAATTCAAATGGCGCAAAAATAGCATCATGTTTAGATGTAACGGAATCCATCTTCTTCAATTACTTTAAAGTAATTTCATTAGAACCCATTTTGCATTACTGCAGTTACTGATATAACTGAAGTGATCTGTAGTTATTCAATCGAAGTTAGCCGAGGACATGAAGGGGTACAACAGGCAACATGAAGACCCACTTCAGACCACAATTATTTTGGAGTTTTTGAAATTCAATTTGTCAGTGTGCTACCAGGGATGTAAAAGAGGATACATTTATAAAGCAGTTGATAATTTTGATGAAAATTTGTTGAAAAATCAACGAAAAATAACAACGAAACAAATCGTCATTTTTCACTAATTCCGCGGGATTTCGCTATTTGGGTGGACTCAGTTATCAAGTTAAATGAATGTTAAACAATCAACTTATTGATTCAATAAAGTTTGTATAAGATTGCTTAAAAGTTGAGTGGGGTTTACCTTAAACTTTGTGTTGAAATCAATTTGTCGAAATCGATTTTTCATTTTTCGCGGTTTTTCGCTAAACGTAGTGGCATGGAAGTAAAAATGAGTTATCATTGAGCTCGCTGTGATTTAACTAACCCACATGCGCAGTTTGAACGAAATCGGAGGAAAAAAGTTGAAGTTATAGATTTTTCATCGGCTTTATCGATTATTGATTTTTTTTTAAATTATCTCTTAGATTGTAAAATGTTTCGGCCAACTTAGTTCAAAATCGGTTGGATAGATCTCGAGTGAAAAGACATCAAACAGTCAGACAGACAGCCAAACAGACATCGTCTGTTTTATATATAAAGATTTATTAAGATGTTTTCGATTTTACAGTTGATTTTCTTGATTTTTGTTTTGTGGTTTATCAACACCTCTATGGTTTATTTAATTCCAAAATTTAAATATTTTGTACAAAATTTTATGGCTTCAAATAAATATAATTTAAACGTAATTAGATGCCTTCAAATAAAATGTATTACTAGTTATTGGGGTATAACCTTGTATTGTTAGTCATTTTAGTTTAAATAAGTTTTGTTGGTCATTTTACAATATAAAAATATATTGCTAGCAATTATACTATAAAAAATACATTATGCTTTCAAAGAGTCTGGATTTGTTTGCCTTTAAAGTTGAAACCGTATTATTATTTTGCTATATTTCAACTAATAACTGCATTGGGATATTAATTTCATATACAGATTGAATACCAGCATAAGCATTGGTTGAGAGTAGGTCTAGTAGAATAACTAACCTGAAGTCAAACTCGTGAATAATGCAATGGCAATTCATTATGATATTCCAAGTTGGCATAACAATTCCTAGAGAACCAAGACCTTCCTACATCTTCAATTAACATAGGATTCAAAAAATCATAGGTAGAAGTAAAATAAAAAATAGAGCAACATATCATTTACCTATGATTTCAATCTATTTTTTTAACTTATTGATTCTTTCGTATCGAATCGTGAAATGAAAGTTGTCTTGAATGGCCAATCTTCTAGATCTTTTTTTGCAGAAGCTCGTCACAATTCTATCCTTGGATCTACGTTATTTCTAATTTTCATAAATGATCATTTGATTTCATCGGTTCTACTCATTATCTATGCTGATGTCTCAAGTATTTAATAGTAAGTCTAATCGATTTGATAAGGTTAAATTGCTAGCTGATCTCAAGAATAACCCATAATCTGTTGTTAAATGGGACAAGGAGTGGCTTGTTCATTTGAACTCCCCCAAAGTATAACTGCTCACTTTTAATCGTCTCATGGAACTCTTCTTAACTTCCATTAGCATGACTGATGCTAAACTCCAGAAGAATGACACATTGCATCTTCTCCGACAAACATTTTCAATTGACATGAAGTGGAAAGAATATATTGAATCAATAGTTAAATCTGCAGCTAATAGAGTTGGTTCGTTATGTCGTGCTAGAATTTAGCATACGTATTTATAAGATTATCATTTGTCCTTGACATAAATATTGCTGTCATATATGGTCTGGGGCTTCTGCTAAATATTTAGATATTCTTGATAAAATCCAGTGAAGAATCTGCAATGTTATTAGTCCTGACCTGGAATCTCAGCTTCAGTCTCTTTCCTCCTGTTATAACGTTGCTTCCCTGTGCCCTTTCTATAAATAATTTCAAAGTAATTTTTTCTGATAACCTTTCCACTATGCTATCAAAACTTTATGAATTTAAACAAAGTACTAGATTGGCGTCAACATCTCATTTTACAGTTGAAATATTTAGATGTGACCGTAAGTTATATGTTAACAGTTACTTCTCTCGTATTTCCCTCTTGTGAAAATCTCTTCCGGCTTCCTGTTTTACAGTCAACTTTGTTCTTCAAAAAAAAAAAACTCATAAATACTAATTTTGATCCAAGTAAAAAAATAAAATTAATGATATACTATATTAAATTAAATACAATCAACCTAGTTATCCAAAACAATTCTTCTCCACTAACTAGAATCTTACAAAAGTCCAATATTGTATATCAATTTAAACATCCTTCAGGATATTGTATCTCTGATAAAAATGTCAATACGTACGTTGGTTTTACTACGACTATGCTAACAAAAACGGCTTACATTTTATTTGATTAAACATAGCTCAATACATCAGCACTTATAGGAACACGCATGACCACACTCACAGATTAGACGGATGTTAGTTGAAAATACATCTATATTACATAAAAACAATAACAAAAAAAAACTAAAAATTATTGAAGCCCTTTATATAAGAGAGTTCAAGCCCAAAATAAATAATGTCAACTAGGAGTTTGTCGACATAATCCATAAATGTTTATGAAAAAGAAAATTATATACGTATGAGCAAAAACAAATAGATATTCTCCTTATACTGAAAAAAAACAACAAATGAACATGTGAACCTCGAAATTAGAACGCTGTATAATCAGTAAAACATGAACAGTTGAAATGTTTTACATTCACAGAAACGTATACATACTCTCAGACAACCTAACCCTCTGAAGATGGCTACAGATGAGATTGAAAGTACTTGGGAAAATACAAACTATTCGAAAGAAAACTTTGATATTTTCCTTTTCTAATTTTTCTAAGGTTACCAAGAAATTACCACCGAACTTGAAATGATCACAATGAAAATTAATTCTACATGTCTAAATTATTTAGCAAAAACTATTTGAATCTAGAATTTTGCAAAAGGCCAATATTGTATATCAATTTAAATGTTCTTCAGGATATTGTATCTCTGATAAAAATGTCAATACGTACGTTGGTTTTACTACGACGATGCTAACAAAAACGGCTTACATATTATTTGATTAAACATAGCTCAATACATCAGCACTTAAAGGAACACGCATGACCACACTCACAGATTAGACGGATGATAGATATTCTCCTTATACTGAAAAAAAAAATAAATGAACACGTGAACTTCGAAATTAGAACGCTGCATAATATTCTACCTAAATATACACAATTATTATTTCTTTCAATGCAATATTTTATCATGTTAACATATAATATTCTTTTATTTTTACGCTGACCTAATTGATTTCTTGTTCTATTAAATAAGGACCGAATTATATTGCTTGTAGAGGATTGCTAGGGACTGGTAAAAATACAAAAACTTTGTCACCTGGTTTATAATTTCTTCTTTTTGTATTTATATCATGCTTAAATTTAATTTTCCTTTTATTTTGAAAATGATTCCAATGCACTGTTTAATTTTTCTTTAAATTTTGATATGTAATGTTGGAAATTCATATCAGTGGTTTCAGACAACCATTTTTCTTTTCTATATATTAGAGAGGAGAGAGTATTTTTATCTTGGATATTTTTAATTCCAAACTCATTTAGTTTAATAAATTCTGTACCATCTTCAGTTTGATTTAAGCTCTTGCTCTTGTAACAGCGCAAATACGATATGTGTCTTGATTTTTCGAATCATAATCACTATTAAAATGAAATGAGTTAGACAATTGGCTCCGCTACAACTTTCCCGCCAGCAAAATCATAGCCAAGTAATACAGAGACATTTTTAATAGGAAGTGTAATCCTAAAACCTACAATAACTGGATCGGTAATCTTATGAAAGGGGGCATTAATGACACGTTGTTATAATTGCGGTATAGTTTAATTGTCAGTTCGGTGAAGGGTAACAAACGAACTTTTATTGAAACAGATTTCTACAACTGCCTTTGCCAGCCAACTCATTTATTTTTGTTGAAGACCAAGGGATACGAATACCCGGATAAAAGACCTCAAATTGTAATGTCAACCGCCCACATCAAAGAATTCTTTGAAGTCTTTGATCTAAATGGTCCAGAACTCGGAGAAATTTAATTCATAAAAATAGATTCTCTTAACAGCTTCCTTAACATTAACAAAATGTTTTTTTTTTGTACAGTTTAACGATTCATTGTTTCTATAATGGATGATAATATCATTCATAGCAACTTCATCATTAGCATCAGTATAACAGTCACCTTCGTTGTCATAGTAGTTGTAATCTTAATTAATTTTATTGTTTAGTTATCTTTCCTAATACGACTGAGTTGATGAGCATATGATTAATTTAAATAGTCAATCATATTTAAGGGAGGAGCAGGAAAAGTCATTGTTGAATATTAATCAACGGATCCAAAAGTGTGCGTGAGAGAGAGAGAGAGACAGAGAGAGAGAGAGAAAGAAAGAGAGAGAGAAAGAGCGAGAGAGAGAGGGAAGATAGATCGATAGATAGAGAGAGTGAGAGAGAGAGAGAAAGGGAAGGGAGGTCAGATACATATAATAATACCCGGATGAAAGACCTCAACTTTTAAGGTCATCTCACAACATCATTGAGTACTTTGAAGACTTTTATCTAAGTGAACCAGAACTCGGAAAATTTCCTTTCCTAAAAATAGATTCTCTTAACAATATATATATATATATATATATATATATATATATATATATATATATATATATGAACATACAAGTCTTAATGCGTTAATGAGAGAGAAAGAAAATTACAAGATGTTCACGAGGAGAATAAAAGAACATGATTCAGGAAGACAAAAATGGCGATTGCTGTCGCATTTAAATATTTAGCAGCATATGTGGCAGTGAAGTAATATAACCAAAAGAACGTTCCACAAGAGACGACTACGAGAGAAGAAACTACTAGAAAAAAAAACTTATAGTGACATGAAGCTGTTTCAACACTATAACGATGAGACATAGTATTATATATATATTGTATTGTAATTAAATTAATGGATTCGAGTCACTGAGAAGGAGAGGTCATTAGAACAATTGACAGAGTGAAGCCACATCATGGCGGTTGAAAAAAATGACTGAAGTCAATATGCTAGATAACAATAACATGCAAGACATTGAATTTCGTAAGGAATCTCCAGATATATAGCAGAAGTACCAGATCAAATACACTAGAAATATTCTATGTACGGACGAATGATAGATATTTAAAACTTATAAAAAGGATTCAGGCGAGAAGTATAGTGTACCACGACACAAACGGTCCTAGCGGCAGACATAGAAATTGATCCAATATAAACTTTCGACTTCATATCAGGAGAAGACGTGAAACAAAGAGTTGCTGCCTTGGAGATAAACATCACTCATACTGATGGAAGGCAAAAATATTTATCATCGATCACTTCTCGGTGTGTATATATTTATATTTATGTTTTGTCCTCGATTGAGTTATGAAGAGCAAGGAGAAAAAACTGTAAGATTTTTATATCGTTACAACTAGATTGTCTTATTCACTGCTTTACACAGCAATATTTTTTCTTTAGTTTGCTCTTCTTCCTCTATGTTTTAAGATGTATACATATATATACATATATATATATATATATATATATATATATATATATATATATATATATATATATATACTTAAATTAATTATTAACAGAAGCCATTGATTTATACCAATGGTTTCCCATAATTAATACTTCCCGTTTTCACTTCTAGCGTCTCGTATACACGAGATTGCCGTTGCTTGGAAATCTTTCATGAAACCCCCCAAAAAAGACTATCATTATTGTTTTGTCCGTATATTAGTTAATATATTGTAATGTAATTGTCAGCTTTGATAATGTCTTATGTAGGCCGGAAGCTTAGATAGGATTAAAAAATATGTATCAATATTGTGGATTTTCTTTCCTCGTTTAATGATAATGTTAATAAGCTTATCAGACGATATGAAAAGAATTTACATAAAATAAATAAACAAAACTTATCTATATTATTTAATGAAACATGCATCAATGAAAAAAATGCTGCCTAAATACACACACACACACACACACACATATATATATATATATATATATATATATATATATTATGTCAATATATAATCTGTTCGTTTTTAAAGCTATAATATCATGTTGTACCCTTCCATATATATATATATATGTGTGTGTGTCTGTGTGTGTCTGTGTGTGTATTCACTTGAAGATGAAATGGAATTAATGCTTTCAATTTAATTACATAATTAAATTTGAGGTTTTTAGCTTCAGTTTTTGAAACATGGTTATTACTGTGTAGCGAAAAACATATTTTAAATCAGTTAATTTATAATACTTATGTTTTGTAAATTTACGTTGAGCACTGTTTTGTAAAAATAAAAATAAAAATATTAATAAGAACGCCGGATTATATATCTTACCGTTCTTTCTTTCTTTCTTCATATATATATATATATATATATATATATATATATATATATATGTATGTATATATATATGTATGTATATATATATGTATGTATGTATGTATGTATGTATGTATCAAAGTTACTGATGGTATTTTATTAAGTTAGTGAATATGATAATTAATTACAGTACTTGATCAGATCAACATTTAAACTTCTTCAATTAAGTATTACTAAAGATAAAAAAAATCTGGGACAACGTTGGTGGGAAAGATTGACTGGAGGAATGAGACAGACAACAGCGGCAGACTGTAAGAAAATAAATAGTGTAATGTTCTTTATTTTAGCATATTACATTAGAATATGTGAATAATGCTACACAACAAATGCAATCATGTTTCAATGTGTATGGTCACATCTCATCAGGCTTTAGCAAATAATAATAGAGCACACATTTTATTTATGCCAGAGAAAGTAATAAAAATACTAATATATACACACACTGACATACACAAATATAAAATCATAATTCATATGAAATTATACACGTCCAATATTTAGTTTTAAATATAAACCAAATATACACAGAAATAACGTGGCATATGCACGTACACAAATATGAAACAGCATTTACACTGATATACAAAGATAGAGATATAAAGACATTTTATAATATCTATCTACGTCTTCGGTATAGTATTCATACAGCAACGTAAATATATGCACACAGATTAATCTAAATCTACATTCAAACACACAAGCACACACACACACATACACGTATATATATATGAATATATATATATATATATATATATATATATATATGTATACATACATATATACATAAGTATATATATATATGTTTACATACATATTTAAATATATAACTATATAACTATATAAATATATATATATATATATATATATATATATATATATATATATAATTAGATAGATAAATAGATAGATATAATATATGTCAGTGGGTCTGTGCACACACGTGTATTTGTGTGAATAATGTAAACAATGTGATTGTGATTGTTTCTTTGCGTAACTAGCGATTGCACAGTGCATAAAACCCCAAGTCGTACTGTCGGAGTGGGTTATTTTTTTTTTTTTTTTTTTTTTTAATCATTGTGCCCCAAGCAAGGCGTAAAGCCACTAGGATGCAGGGGGTTGCGGAAGATTTGGAGCGAGAGCAGATAAGTGTGATAGGAGAAAAGAAGAGGAGAAGGATAGTGGGTAGATCAAGGTAATTGGAGATGTCGATTGACATTACATTTGAATAGTTGGAGATTATAGCTTTCAGGAAACAGTAATTGGGGAGGGTGTTCCACTGGCGAGAGGTGCGAGGTATGAAAGCTATTGGAGTAGAAGAGACGGCTACATTTGAAGGTTTCTACGGTGTAAGGGGTGAGAGCTGGATGCCAGCCTCGCAGGGCGCTTGAATTCATGGAGTCTGGGAACCAGAGAGAGAAGCTCATCAGAGCAGTTACCATGGAAGTATTTGTAGAAAAGACAGAGAGAGGCGACGGCGCGTCTGTGAGAGAGTGACTGCAGACAAGACGCCAGATCAGGGCCAATTAGATTACCTATCCGTCTCTGGATCTTGTCAAGAACTCCGAGGTAAGCAGAAGGTGCTCCAGCCCATATATGGCAGCAATACTCGGGCGAATGGTTGTTTTGTATATTTGAAGTATCGATTCAGGGGAGAAAAATTTCCTGGCGCGGCACAGAGAGCCAACTTTCCTCGCGGTGGAAGAAGCAATTGACTCAATGTATTTGTTCCATCTCAGGTCAGCAGTCAGCGTGAGGCCGAGCAGACTCAAGGAGTTGCTCTCAGGAAATTGACTATCAGACATTTTAATGGGGGGCAGGGAAGGATCTCTATGGTGGTTAATGGAGAGTAATTTAGTTTTTGCGGCGTTAAAGTTGACCAGCCAATTCTTGCCCCAGTTAACAACCGATTGGAGGTCCATTTCAAGACGCACGGCAAGGTTAGTTTTGTCGCCGACACTAGATTTGTTTTTGAGGCAGGAGTAAATTGTAGTGTCGTCTGCATATGCCGACTTGGGAATCTATAGCTTCAGGAAGGTCATTGATGAAAATAAGGAAAAGAGTGGGGCCAAGGATGCAGCCTTGGGGCACACCTGCGTTAGTGGGATAGGAACTGGAAGAGAATCCGTTGAGAACGACCTTCAATTCTCGGTTGGACAGGAATGATTGTATTAGATCAAACAATTGACCAGTAACACCATACCCCTGGAGCTTACGAAGAAGGCCGGCGTGCCAAACCCTATCGAATGCTTTGGAGATGTCGAGGGCCACAGCACGAGCCTCACCGTTATTTTGAATGGCTTGGTAGACGGTTTCAGTGATGGCCGTAAGCACATCAGCTGTAGATCGGGCGTAGCGGAAACCATATTGCTTGTCTGAGAGCAGATTATGGGATGTGAGGTGATTAACCACTTCGGCATTGATTAGGGCTTCGAAGACTTTGCCGAAGAGGGGTAGGAGACTAATAGGACGGTAATTAGTGGGGTCAGAGGGGTCTCCAGAGTTCTTAAATACAGGAACAATGGATGAGGACTTCCAGCAGTCAGGAAAACATGATTCCTTGAGGCAGTAATTATACAGTTTAGAGAGAGCGGGTGCTAGCTCAGGCGCGCCTTTCTTCAGGACAATGGCTGGTATGCCATATCTACCACTAGCCTTGTGGGAGTCTAAGGTGGAGATAATGCCCAGTACCAATGATGGGGTTATGTGTAAGACGCTCAGTAAGGCCTCAGTTCTAAGAGGGAAGTCTCGTATGGGTACACCGGTGGAGTCGAGCGTTGAATTAAATGAGAATTTCCGAGCAAAGCATTCAGCCTTGTCGGTAGAGGAGGTCAAGACCTCGAACTAGTTGAATAAAGGAGGTATGGAGGGTTTTCGATTATTCAGGAGACTCTTGCAGACTCGCCAATAATCTTTGGAGCCAAATTTGTGAGATGCAATACGTTCCTTCATTCGAGCAGCAAATATTGACTTAGCTTCGTTGAGGACACGCTTACACTCGTTACGGGCAGAGACAAAGAGACGTCTATTGCAGTCCGACATGTCGCTACGGAATCGG